TAGGGAGATTTTACTAAAAGAATCCTATTAAATACATTTAATATTTCATACTCTTTGTACATATTTTAACTAATTTTAAATAAGTATATGTAACATAGGTAGTTTTAGAAGTAATTTATAGTAATTTTAATATGTAATGTAGTGTTCAAAAGCCCTTAGGGGAACACGCAATAAAGTATCTATCTATCTATCTAACCATTTCCCTAATCCAAGCCCTAATCCTAAAAGTCTAAAAATAGTACCTGTTCCTAAATCCTCGATAATATTTTTTGTGCTTGCGAGCAGAATTTAAAAATTGGAAATGTGCCTGCAAAAAGTTGTGTTTCTTTTTCATAAATAAGCAATTACTGCAGGTAAAATCCGCTGCGGTAAGTAATTACTGCAGTAACCAGTAGTAGTAACAACTTAGTTAACAACAACATTTTAATTAAATACTGGGTAGTTTTTACTGACTAAAAAGTCACAGTCCACAGACTTCCTATATTGCACGATTGTAAGGACAGTAGATCAGGTCATAAAGGCTTTGCTGATCATGCATGAGCCTTAAGTAATAAGTAAAGGCGAAATGAGTTGTCTTTGTGGAAATATTGTGTTTCATATTTGGCCTAATTTTTTTCCAATTCACAGGATCCCGACATGGTTCGAAATATATCGCGGTGGGTAAAAGAAGCTGTAAATATTCCATTCTTTGCGAAAATGACACCCAATGTGACAGACATTGTAACAATTGCTCGCGCTGCTAAGGAAGGTAAGATAAAGGAGTTTATGAAATAAAAAGGTCAGGTATTTCCGTGGTAGGTAATCTAAGATGAAGGTTATTTATCACAAAGGTATTACGACTAAGAGATTCGTTTATTTGGATACGCCATTGTCTTATGCCATCATGTAATGACGCCTGTAAATCTCGTAGCTGTGGCCGAATTGGCAACGGGATTTTTGTCAATTCGGTCCCAAAAAGGTCCCGTAGGAAAACAAGCATCTATCACGGATTATGGCGTGCGTACGGAATGGCGCAAAGGCTGTTTTCCATTACGGCCACTTTGCCCGCGCGAAGGAAGCGACCTCGTTTGGGCATACGCATTAAGTTTCTTGTGTAAGAGTTTACTCGCGGACACGCGATTGAAGTTGAAATGTTTTCAACCTTGCAGGTGAACTCGCGTGATCGTTAACTCACGTGGTTGGAATAAACCAATGGGATTACTCATATTTCCTTTATTTCCGCGCGTACGAAGCGGACACTATGAGCATGCTCCGTAAAGTTATGGCGTGACCACGAGTGGCTCGTTTGTGACGCGCGTGCACGCTTTGCGCGTGCACGCTATTTCAACTTTCAAAGCGTGCACGCGCGACAGAATGCTCAATACTGTCCGCTTCGCCGCCGCAGACAAAGCGGACGTAATGGAAGCCGTTCTTAGCACCACTTCACTGGCTATCCTAACATCTTTTATATTTAGGAGGTGCTGATGGGGTAACAGCTACAAATACTGTATCAGGTTTAATGGGTCTTGATGGTAAAGGAGCAGCATGGCCACGTATTGGAGTACAAAAAAGAACCACTTACGGAGGTGTGTCTGGTAACGCCATCCGTCCTGTAGCGTTACGAGCTGTGTCGGCTATTGCTCGTGCTTTACCGGGATTTCCGATCTTGGCAACTGGTGGTATTGATAGCGCTGACGTTGCATTACAGTTTGTACATGCTGGTGCTTCTGCTGTCCAGGTCAGTCAACTGTTCTGTAAACTAAGGTACTGGTCATTAATAATGGGAGGGTATAATGCGTAAGAACAGGAGGAAAAACTCAATTATAAGGCCTAAAATCCAAAATATGTGCCAAGGGGCTACTGCATACTTGCATGTTATAAAAACTAAAGCCCAGGATATAACTTTAAACAAAGGCATTTTGTAAAACTTTTTATTTTTTATGTCTACGTTTCGTTAGTTGCAACTACATCATTTTCAGTGACTAAATTAACTCACAGATGTTACACAAATTATTTAAACTTAATGTACAAAATAAGTGAACCATGCAATCAGAATGCACAGGAGAGATGATGGGGTGGGAGGGGAGGGGTAAACACTGCTGGAAAATGTCCACCACACCGGTTGCACTGCTGCCATGAAACGTTTAACAAAATATGTTCGAAGGAAATTTCTTATACATCTTGCAGGGAATTTTTGTCATCGTATATATATAATGGAATGCCTTATGATTATACTTATTGTTTACAAAAGTGTTCCGCAAGTCGAGAATGTCCATCGCAATTATTGATCACACTGTGCGCCACCATACATTCTCTGAGGTCTACATATGCAGGAATTTCCATATTTGACTTGTACACAGTAACTTATGCATTTTGCTGTCAAGACGACAAATATATAAGAGTATTAAAAAAGGCATTGTAGACCCTCAAATTCATTGTGGACCCTCAAGTTCATTGTGGACCTTCAAGTTCATTGTGGACCTGAGCATAACTGTATAAATAATTTAGTCAATAATTTAGTCACTAAAATGACGTGGTTACAATGATATGCATTCTACTTGCTACATGGTGCATTATTAATGCATATCTTTAAACAGATATCTAGTGCTGTACAAAATCAAGACTTTACAGTTATTCATGACTATAATACTGGGTTGAAGTGTCTTCTGTACATGGAGTCATGTAAGGAATTTGAAAATTGGAATGGACAAAGCGCTCCTACTGCAAGACATCAAAAAGGAAAACCTGTTCCAAAAATAAGTGATCTTGTTGGAAAGGTATGCCAGATGAATTGTGTTTTTTTTTCAAAAATTATTTAACGTATTAAACGTCGGTATTAGGCTAACTAACTAAAGGGAAAGTGTGCACTGCTATAATGTATGAAAATATCCAAAATTATGAAACAGAAATTAATATATTGCAATGTATCTTGTATGATAAATGCGAAGTTGAAATATAACACGCTTTAATACATTTTTACACGCAACCACTTGCAACTTACAATGCGCTTTCGCCGTTTCGGGCCTTATAGCTTTCCTGCTGTACTTATAATTTATGAATGCATTGCCCATTATAAAATGGACCAGAATAGAGCATTGCCATTGGAGTGTTAAATTGGATGATTTGCATTGCATGAAAGATTTGCGATTTATAGCATATTGTAATTCATTGAATAAAAAATGCATTTTACAAAGTATAATTGAAATATTACTCTTTATTTTGCTTGAGAATTTTGATTCACAAACAGCGAGTTATATTGGATCGGTCATTGGTATCATATCACTTGATTGAATGATTTCATGAGCCAAACTCAAAGGCTATTGAAACTACATGATGTGTTTTGTAATATGACCCTCCGTTAGTAAATCTAATTCCGAGGACTGGGAGAAGGGCAGAAGGCACGTTTGTGAGATCATAAAAAAAGCATGTGCTTGATGTACTTTATAATCATTGGAATTCTGCAAAATCTCGCCGCCAAAACGCTTGAAATCGCATTTCAGAGACTCTAGATTTCAAAATTTTCCGGGGGACATGCCCCCTAGCATGTCTCACGCCTTCGGCGTTCGACTTATGTTTGAATGATTCTAGATCCGCCCCTGGTTGTGACAAGTCTGGAACAAGTTGTTATCACGTTGTTACAAGGTTGATAAAGGTATAACACACGTGCTACACGTTGTTTCAACTAACACAGGCTGTTCGTAACAAGTTGCTACGAACTTGTTGTCATCAACTTGCAAACGACTTGGTGCAACAACTTGTTACGAGTCTGTTGGTCTCATCATTAACCTTGTTCCAGACTTGCCAACAACGGGGAACAAGCAGTGCAACATATGCATGTACTTGTGAGGTTTTTACGCGTGCACGTAAGTTGCTTCACGGGAGTTCATATAAATAATGTCGGATCATGTATTCATGTGGGTTATACTTCATACGCGTTTTCACCCGTACATGCAAAAAAATATTGAAAATGCTCGTCAGTCGGCCATCTAGCCTGCAGAGCAGGCGTTCTGGTTATGGGCTTAGGGGCTTGACCATGTTAATTAATAGATTTTTATGATGACTTTCCTTTACAGCATCTGCCAAGTTTTGGCCCATATCTCCACAAGCGAGAAGAAATAATCAGTAAATACAAAGCGGAGATGGACTTACATGCTCCTGAATACTTGCCTGAGAAAGCACGTCCACCTGTACAGGCTGTTAAACCCACACCCACAGTCAGGGTACGTTTCAGTAATTTCTGTTATTGCATGTATACATTGTAGCATAGACAATCCAGAATCATTCTCGTCCCCAGAGCCATTTTCACTCGGTCACTCGTTGAAAATTAGGCTCTGGGATAGACGACTAAAGGAAGAGATCTGATTGGCTTCTCAGAGAACTGCTATTTCGCAGAAGTTGAGCAGTTTTCGCTGGGCAAAATCATTCTATCAACATATGTCAACACAAATACTTCGTTTCTTCTTAATACTTCACTGTGAAAATTCTTACGGGTGCTAAAGTGTCCCAATTCAAGAGCATGCGCTTTAGAAACTACTGCAAGTTTTCTTGCATTTTCGGTTCCGTGTGTCCCAGGGCCTAGGGAGGACGCACGCGGCTGAGAGGCCCTGGGGACGAGGATGATCCAAAATACATCGTTTGGCTTCAGGATTGTCTATGATTGTAGTCGCTACGTCTCTTGTGATTGGCCAGTAGCGTAGATCTAAATATGTAAATCACGCAACCTAGACATAACGCAGTTCTGAGTTATGTTTTGGTTACTAACTTCCCGATGATGGGGCCTTCGCTCGAAACGTCGAAGTTCTCCTTGTATTTTTCAGGTAGTTGTATCCCTATGAACCCGAAGCTTTCTTGTTATTGACACAACGTACATCGTCTCATTGTGACCTTAGTATATACCATTTATAAACACTCACAGCTAATATTTTTTAACTCTCATTCAACACCCAAGTGTACCTAAATTTTCTTGTCAAACTTTTATCGCACAGGATGACACCACCTGTGATAATTCGCCATTTCGAAGAGACTGAGTGTTAAGAAGTAGCAAAATTAAGAAAAGAACGCAGCCACTGGAAAGAGCAGCTCGAAATTACTGCTTAAACCAGGTCGATTACTTAATATGAATAGCAAGCTTTGAAAGATCGCAAACAGTTGTTCTATAAAATACATTGTATATTGGTGGACGCGCGTCCTTCAAAATCTCCAAGCTCAAACTTTGTATACTAACTAGTTTTGAGGTGTCTTCAAGTGGTTCAGTTAGTTTCTTCATTGTCTTCTTTTTAGCACTCGTTCCCAGTCTCATCGACATCAGAATAACTAAAAGCAACTTAATTTGTAAATCAGTCTTTTTATGACATTAAAACTTCCTTTTACTTTTCCAGGATATGATAGGTCGTGCTCTGAGCACAATTGGTACTTACGGCGAGCTGGATAGTAAACAACAAGTGGTTGCAGTTATTGATGAAGAAATGTGCATTAACTGCGGCAAATGTTACATGACCTGCAATGATACTGGTTACCAGGCCATCACTTTTGATCCACAAACACATCTACCTCATGTGACTTCAGACTGCACTGGATGCACTCTGTGTGCTAGCGTTTGTCCAATAATAGGTAGGTGAAACAATACTTTCAAGAAAACGCCTAATCATATCTGAAAATGCTGTGCTGAGTGGTTATATTACTACCTTAAAAAACAAGAGAAACTCAACGTTTCGAGCGAAGGCCCTTCGTCAAGAGTTATACCATTTATAAACACTACTAACTCTTTATAAACACTACTAACTCTTGACGAAGGGCCTTCGCTCGAAACGTCGAGTTTCTGCTTGTTTTTTAAGGTAGTAATATAACCACTCAGCACAGTATTCTCACATTGGTACTATACCTACACTGGTACAGACCGTTTTAGTATATAATCATATCTGAAACTATTTGAAGACTGCGCATGATTACGTCTAAAATGCCTAAAACTACTTCATAACATTTGCTGCACTGATGCACGCGCATCTATTAATTGCAAAGCGTACGCCAATATTGGACCTGTTATGTCTAAAATTGAATTGGGATTCGAATGTACCGGATCTCAACTGCTCAAACGGCAAATCCGTCGAATCACCAGTTCTGCTGGGGGACCGAGATTTTGTGGGGCAGTCCGAAAGGGCTAAGGGTATAATGAAGCAATCATCTCGTCCAATAACTAAACCGTACTGTTAAAACATTAATATAATATTTAAAAAGAAGCTGGGTTCAACCGTGCAAGGTGAAGCCGTCTCAACATAAAATCATAGTTCTTTGACGTTTTCCGAGTTTCCAGACCATATCTCGATTAACTAGTATGCACTGCTTCTGTATAGCAACACATAACTGCAAACGTCGACGACATTTTCGATTGATTTAATTAAAGCACTATCCATCGTCCAGAACTGAATATTTTTATTATTGTTTTCTCATTATTATGTCAAAATTACAGTTATACAGGGTGTCTCAAAAAAAACGTTATGGAAATTCAACAGGCTGTCGTGCATCATAAACGTGGCTAAACAATTCAATTTTTACATAGGACGAAAGAACAGTTATTCAGCTTTTCAATGATACTCTTTTTAAATCGTTACGATGAGAAATGGCCACATACTCGTCAAATAAAAATTGCCGGTCGAAATCACATTCTTCCACCGTTGGGAATTGCATGGAAAACGAAACATAAACAATTCCCAAGAGGGAACTAAAATTGAATGTTAAATTATCTAAAATAAGTTCAACTCGTCAATCGTCGTCTTAGTGAGACCATAAGAACGTCCATCAGTATTGCATTAAACATGGTTCAATTAACCCTTGAACAGAGAACATTCGTAATCAAAACGTTTTACGAAACAAGTACCTTGCAGCAGACTCACGGTGCTTTCGGATTGATTAACTTTGCATAAGTAATGTATTTTTAATTCCCAACGGTGGAAAAATGTGATTTCGACCGAAAAATTTTATTTCACGAGTATGTGGCCATTTCTCATCGTTACGGTTTAAGAAATATATGATATAGAGAAGCTAAATAACAGCTCTTTCGTCCTATATAAAAAATGAATTGTTTAGTTAAGTTTGTGATGCACAACAGTCTGTTGAATTTCCATAGCGTTTTTTTTTAGACACCCTGTATATATAATAAAAAAATTCTGTGTAAAACGTTTTCAATATGTATAACCGGTTCATCACCATTGTAAATAATGTAACGTCCTAACGAAAACTAACTGCAAACGACCTAACTAAAACCAACTGGAGACGACTTTCTTAAAAAAAATGTTTATTAAAGCTCTCAACAAAAGTTAAAATTTTTTGACGACTTTCTTAACGGTAAAAATGTTTATTAAAGCTCTCAACAAAGGTTAAAATTTTTTGACATCGTCATTTTGATAATCTTTCATATTTAAAAAGTGGCATTCGCGTCAAAATTTTTATTTTCTTAAACGAAAATGCTCTTAAAACTGTATAGTAACTTGTTTTCAAGATTTTTGTTCCCATGCTTAGTTCTTGAGATATTTCATTTTGTTTGTAACCATGTGACGTCATTGACTCGATCACATATAATGAGATATCGGTAATTGTTGTATATCTTTGCTATTTTTTATTAAAATCTTTTCAAAGATGCGGCGCGTTTGTTAATTTAATCTACATCATTAAGCATACTGTTTTTTAAATTAAACAAGTCCATCAAAAATAGCAAAGATATACAACAATTACTGATATCTCATTTATGTAATCGAGTAAATGACGTCACATGGTTACAAACAAAATGAAATATCTCAAGAATTAAGCATGGGAACAAAAATCTTGAATACAAGTTACTATACAGTTTTAAGAGCATTGTCATTTAAAAAAATAAAAATTTTGACGCGAATGCCACTTTAACTTTTTTTGCAATTTCAAGCTTTCTCATCACTCTAATTTTACATTTTATTAGACTGTATCACAATGGTGCCAAGAACAACTCCTTACGAGCCAAATCGTGGTATTCCAATTACAGTAAAAGCTGAAGCGTAAGAAACAATTTAGGAAATGACTTATCAGTGTGTAACATATAACTCATATAGACACATCCACATATATATATATATATATATATATATATATATATATATATATATATATATATATATATATATATATATATATATATATATATATATATATATATATATATTCGATATTTTTAACGATGAAAAATCTATTTTTGCTAAATTGCCAACAGAGGTGGGAAATGTTTTTTTTCTTTCTGGGAACTCTGTGTAGGGCTCAACATTTTCTACAAAAGATTACAATAACTGTCCTGTTGCCATGTGAAGCAATATGTTTTCAAGACTGATAAAGCTGATTAATTCTGTCACGTGATTCTGTATAGTAGTCATAGTAGTTACAGCATTAGAAACAAATTTCCTACTGCAGGCTATATAAATGTTTTTGATAAAACTGTTCCGCTGTAATTTAGGTATTGAGTTAGTAGATGAATTAAATATTCAATCATTTCAATAGTAATTTAGATATTCAATCAGTTTAATTTTCAAAATTAGCGATCAGACATAAAAAATGTCTGTGAAAATTTCTGCAAAAATGTAGATTCCAAACAATTTCTGGGAACTAGGTTCCCAGGTTGCGATACGTTTTCCACCTCGTATTGTCAATATGGGACTCAAGCAAGGAGGATGACAAACGCAACAACAACACAACATTTATGTTTCTGTAATTGACGTCACACACGCATTGCAGTTTCAGGTTATGTTGTAAGCGTGTTGCCATCCTACATGCTTGCGCCCGTTATTATCATGAAAACCGATTCTGCACAACATGTGTCGATTAGTGCAACTGCTGAATTTCTGTTGCCTTAACTTGATACCGCGTGACTGCTAGCGCAATGAAGCATTTAATTCACTGATCTTAACAGCCTCTCGCGCTGTGGAGGAAAGAGATTTTGCATACAAGCGGTGGTAGCCGCCAAGGAAACACGATCTGTCGCTATGTAGATCGAGTAATTTATCATTCCATATAAGTAATCACTTGCGAACTGAGTGCAATCACTTAGATTATTTACGCTATATACATAAAAAATTAGAATTATATACGTATTACCCACAATCAAGTTTGATGTTTGTGATTGCAATGACTACACATATTGTTGCAAAGTGTTGTGCTAAACTATTGACAACTCTCAGTTGGGGTAATTTTACTTACGACGCAAAGTACTTTGAGATCCTGTTTACTCGCCACCAGATCAGCGTGTTGTGCAGCATCGATTTTCTTAAACGCTTTCAAATTACTGTACGTACAATATGAAAATTTCAATTGAATTAAATGTCTTTAGGACTGATTATGTGTTTGTTGCGTTTCTCTTCGTGGAGTATTATCGAGTAGTGCAGGAAATATGACAAAATGGGATTTTTTTGTCACGGTCCGTAGCAAAATTACATGTTTAACACAAATAATGTGATGGAAATTTCACGGACAAGTGTATAGCAAAAATGTCTGTGTTCGCCACGAACCAGATTTAGAGATTGGTATCAATCAGTCGATCAATAAGGTTATTTAACGAGTTTAAACACATTACAATCGCAGACGACTCATAACCATGGATCCTCGCCTCACTTTTCCCCCAATTTTCCCTCTTTATCCCTCAACTATCCCTTACTGTAACTATCAAATCAACTATCCCTGACTATCCCTCATGTGTTTCAAGAGTTGCCTGCGGAGGAGGCTAATATAAACGCATACAAAATGTTATGAAAGTAATGAAAATCGAGTAGGCCTAAAATCGTTTATAAATGTCCGGTTCGAAGGACCACGTGTCGTATTCCACTCACTACAATAAGACGATCACACGCTCTGGGGACTGTATCTCTTTATTTGATAATAATTATAATCTCTTTACAGGAACGATCTCTGCAGATGAAAACGATATTAATTCCAACATGTCACAATCAGTAGTTTTATCTTTTAGCTCATTGTCCAATAATACACTACCTCATTTTGTCAAATTTTTCTAACATATTTTTTTATTTAAGGTACGTTTACACGCTGTAATTTGTCCGACCGATTTAGGCTTTGCTGAATGATTAATCGCATTTTCAATATTAAATGTGCCTTAATATGTGACTTATAATGTCTAACCTGCAGTTTAATGACGAATATATTATGTTCAGTTGATGATATCAGAAGGTTGACATTTGTCACATATTTTCATACAAATATCATTAGAGTGCACCTAATATCGGCCAGGCAAATCGCAGGTTGTAAACGTATTAGATTATCACAATAGATGGGTGCGATGGCATCATCTCGTCCAATCTTTCGACCCGTGCTGTTAAAATATTAATATAATAAATATTTCAAAAGAAGCTAGGTGCAACCGTGCAATGTGAAGCCGTCTCAACATAAAATAGCTTTTTGAAGTTTTCCGAGTGTCCAGACCATATCTTGCGATTAACTAGTCTAAACTGCTTCTCTAGCAATACATATAGCTGCAAACTTCGACGACACTTTCCAATAATTTAATTAAAGCACTATCCAATATCGGCCAGGCAAATCGCAGGGTGTAAACGTACTAGATTATCACAATAGACTTAATGAATCATGCCAACATGCGGAACATAATTCTGACCCCGATTTGTATCTCACCTATACCATGCTGCCATTTTGTTAATTTCTGTTCACGTGGTATATAATATGTGAACATGGTACCAGACGAGTGTAGCTTTACTTCATTCTGTATGATGTATAATTATACCATGCAGTAAAACCATTTGTCATTGACACAATATTGCTTGCTAGCTTCGGTCAAAATATCTAAGACGTTTAACAAAGTACCTAAGACGTTTAACAATAATGTAAAGGGAGCGAGTCTTCAAAGATTTCTGTTGGGTTTGTGTTGGGAATCACTAACAAAAATCGCAAAATAATTGGTTTCATTTTGGTTTTACAAAAGTCAAACTAGGAATCAAAAGAAAAGTAACTTACTTCTAAGGAGCTTGTAAAGTCTTGATAATTATTTATAAACAGTATGTAATTATAGTTAGAGATTTCTATAAATATACGTTCAAGCATGACCATTAGCGACCGAAACTACGTCATTTCCGTTGATATCAACGATCCCATCTTTGGTTTTCCGACCATAAGACCTACGATATTTGTCATCAACATGCTGCAGGAAGTATGTTCCTTGCCAAAAGTGCTCAATGGAGCCAGACGGTGAAAAATCTTTGCGGTGCTGGGTCTTTTCTCTCATCTCCAGTGTTTTTACAAACTCTGCTGGTTCAAGGCACGCTCTTGCTTCGAGCTTTGATTTCATGTCAGATACGTTGGTGATAATTCGGGTAAGGTTTGAGTCGTGTGGATCTGGGGAAACTTTGATAGAGTAAAAGGCAGAGGCGTAGCCAGAGCCATAACAGAAAACTCCAATACGACATCCAGCCAAGTCTGTTGAAGATACGCTAAGAAGAAGAGCAGAAATGAGATTATTAAATGCAGCAGAATTTAATTTCTTGTTGCTAGTCTAGTCAGATTTTATTTAAAGCCAATTACACAGGGTGTTGTTGCCCAATTCACTCGAACTGGAGGCGCATGATATAAATACTCAACTAGGGGGTCAGTTGAAAGTCTCCCCGAATTTTTATATATGGAGGATTGTAAAGAAATAACCTGAATTTAACATAATATTTTCTGATAAATCTGTCCGAATATTCTTGATTTTCCCTAGCATTTGTCCGAATTTCCATGGTTTTCTAAAGTTTTGGGGGCAGTTGGCCCCCGGCCCCCACCGGTCATGTACGCCTATGACTAAGGTTTACTTTTTGGTTGTGGAGGAGAAGCGGGATAACCTTTAGAGCATAAGAGAGGGCCCTGCATAACATATTTCAAGAACATCGAGTCTCTGTTATAGGTACTTGACCTACAGTGATGGGCGTAACTCAGCAGTAAGGGGCATGCAACGCGCTATTAGCATATGTCCGTAATTATTTACCTTGCCAAAAGAGAGGCTAATCCAGCGTACACTGAGGCTGTGTAAGCATTACCAACATTGGTGGCAAAAAGCAAACTTGATTTGGTCTTCTTTTGAAAATCCTTCAGACTGAAACTCATCGAAGCTTTTTCTATCAACTTTGCCCTCGCCTCATCCTCGTATAACTGATCAACAGTAACGTCACTAAATAGAAAGTGGAAATTTTCGGTTGGCTTTTACTTGGAGTTACGCAATAACCAAATACAGACATGCATAATTATTAGATATATGTATTCTTAAATACAGATTAATTTGCTTTAAGGTTCGGTTTAGGGTCATCGTTTAGTTAAAAGGCAGGGTTAGGTTTTGTTTTGAGGTCAAGTTTACGGCCAGGGTTTGGTTGGGGATATTTAGGGTTTAAGGGCATAGTTGAGAGCCACCTCACCATGCACCATGCGCTTCATCAAAATGTGATAGGTAACACACCGGCCATGTATTCTTACCTAAACTCCTTAAGACTTTCATATTTCGTATCTGACTCAATCACTTCAGATTTTTCTCTCAAGAAATCGAGGAAGATCAAGCGCGCCAATGATTTCTGCGTTAATTTGCACACTGGACTATGAAATACCGCATAGTCGATATCATCCATTGAGCTAGGATATGTCGTATCCGTTGATGATTGACCATTCATCTGTTTGGACTGCGCATACTTGGCTTTCGCCAGGTAACCATGGTAACATCTCTCAACAGCTTTCAGGTAGCAGTTGATCGATAATTTGCCATCCACCACAGGGTATTGGGACTCCAGATTCGGTTTGTAGAAGTCGTAAGCATGAGACATAAACACTGAACGCAATCCTAGAATAACAAAAGCAAAATACTTTTCACAAAAAGTGGTTTAAAAACTACTGAATAAAGCGCGCATTACCTGACGTTCTCTGAAGTTCATTGAAATTCTCTGTTACTCATCACAGTTGAAAGTTACGTACATGTCAGTTTAATCTAAGTTGTGATTGTGAGATAATCTTGTTTGCAAACTCAGATCAAGGCACATTAGCAACGGAGTTATTCAATGTGAAATTCATTTTCCGAGGACTCAATGGCCGAAATTATTGCAATCTCCTCCCTATTTGGTAAAAATACGAATTTCCTGGAGTTTATATCCCCGTGGGATACAAGAAATGGCTTCAACTAAATATTTCTCACTGTATTTAGTAAATAGACATATACCTCTCTCAACAACTAATGGTGCATTAGGTCCAATCAGCATTGCCACCGCTCCTGCACCGCCTGAAGGTCGAGCATTGCCAGCAGCATATACTGCAATATCAGCACAGACAACAATAGAAAGACGACCTAAAGAAATATTTACAAAATATTTTTGTTAGTGTAGGACAAGCCATAGCTATCAAAATATGATTATCTGGAAACTGAGCAGAAGCCATTGTATTATGTTTTTGTCTGAGTTTTATCGGTCACGGTGATTGAGCTCATTGTATTTTCAAATAATAAATAACCGTCCTATAGGGATAGCCGAGATGAAACGTCCAACCACGTTGAATAATATTTATTATTATTTATTGAACTAATTCAAGAGTTCTGATTGGCTAAGAGCAGTCGGTGAAATTGTCATCTCCGCTCGGTAGCTGTCCAAATTTGGAGTTATTACATCACCGTGGAATATTGAAAACAAATATACCACGTTTGACGTAACTTCGTGGTATACATTGAAACACAATGTAACACAGCAGTAACACGCTATGACGTCACGCTAATTGATGTGACTTAAGCCAAAACTGGGGGGAAATGCAAATGGCTAACTCATGCAAAGGAAAGGTTCGCCGACATTGGGGAATTAAACTGAAATTAAAAAATAACTCTACATTCTATCATTTAAAATCTTTGATTGCCCTGCCAATCTGGATGATTCGTATTTGTGGGGAGGGGGGCATAGCTCCCTCAAGTTTCGCCCCTGTATGAACAAGCATCAATCGGGGAGGTTAATAGGTTGAAAATGGGTCCTCCTAATTATCTAATATATAGCTACTGTAAAGCTGCATTGGCCTCTCGCAGCGAAGGTCAGTTATTAGTTTGTTATGACCTGGTTATGACTTGGTTATGACTCAACTATCACTTAACGGAAGTGCCCTATACAGATTGCTGAGATTGGCCCTCGTACTGGTGTGTTCTATTATAACTAATAAGACTGGCAATAATCTCTCGTTATAGCTGGATTGATGTATTGTATTCGACATTGTATTGATTGGAATAATCAATTATATAACTTAATTAATAACCTTAATATTGGGTTAGGGTACGCTGATACGGACCGACGGACGGACGGACGACCTATTTTTCTCTAAAATATTTTTAAACATATCCGCGTTTTACCCATTCTCGTACCCAGAGCCCTTCTTACGCGCGTTCGACCGAGCACGACGAGGGGCTCTGGCCAAATCCATAACCGGATACCATAAAAACATGGTATCCAGTTTAACACTGCGCATGCTCAACGTCAAACTAGTGATGGGCGATACCAGCTTTTTTGGTTTCGATACGATACCAGTCCGATACCATGAATTTTGGTCGATACCGATACCAAAATCGATACCGATACTCAATTTTTTCCATTTATTAAAATAACTTTTAAAACAAGAACATTAATGTTAAAAGAACATAACATTTGCAATTATGATTTTAAATCTAAACAATATCAACGTGTTCAATGTTTTCCATAAATATATTGCTAATTAGCTACATGTTTTTGTTTTGCGAGTATCGAAAGTATCGATACTTTTGTAAGTATCGATGATTTCGTTACAGTTTTTCGATAGTATCGCCCATCACTACGTCAAACGCGGATAAACACTTCGGTTTTCTTGTTTGTTTCGTTTTGAAAGTTTTACTCCAGGAAAACCCCACAAAAGCGGTAGGTTTCGCTAATTTTATTTATTTAAATCAATTAGTACGTAAGACGTGATGTTCTCAATGCATGTTGATAAAAATTTAGTATATATTTCCCTCTTAAACGTTACCAAAGCAGTAATGGCTACGGATACGAAGACGAGAGATTGTCTCACTATTTTATATTCGATTTTAAGTCGCTGTTGTACAGATTTTTAGACTTTTTTGTGTTTTATTAAAAGTCAACAGTCATACATAAGACATACTATACTGCAAATCATTTGAAAATTGTAAAAAATCGGTTTCTAGGAAGAAAATAGTCATCACAATTAACTTCATATTCTGGCTGACTTTAATATTTTCTCTTCAGATGGCACTTCAGCTTTGAACATGTAACACAGATTTGTTTGATTAACATCACTGATTTGGAAATACGACGAGCATCTGCCATAAATATGCTGACTTTTTGCTATGAGAACATCACATCTCAACCTATTAATTTTAATCAACTAATTGATTTAAACTGAAATAAAATTAGCGACATCTACCGCTTTATTGTGGGCCGGATTATCAACAACAATCTTCCTAACTGCTTCGTACTGCTGTTCTTTCAACTTTAATAATGTCTTTTCTCCCAATTTTCTCCAAAACGAAACCAACGCTTTATGGAGCGCCTGATTTTTATTCATATTTTATACAATAAACCATATATTTAGTTGTGGCCAATCAGAAGCCAGTTTGATATGGAGTCCCTCGTCGTGCTCGGTCGAACGCGCATAAGAAGGGCTTTGGGTACGAGAATGCGTTTTACCCGATCGGGTAAAACGCGGATATGGCGGTGTAAAATGCTCTCGCGTATATATTTAGTATAAAATATAATATCTCGCGATGTTTCGCCCCGCTCCTGACACCGTGACAGGTACAAGTGGAGCGAATTTTGAAGTTTGAACAGTTGAACTCCTTGCAAACTGTATTTGTTCAGTGTAGTCAATCAGCTCAATAAAATGTCGTCGTTTGGCAGTCTGAAAAATTGTAATCAATCAAAAAATCACGAAACCGTAGATGTTGAAGGTTTATCGCAGTATTCATATCGATCAATGGTTGATAAAGATGAAATTGGCGACGGCAGGTTTGGCATTGTGCTAACAGCGATGCTCCCGGGTGAACATGAAAAGATCGTGGTTAAAAAACTTCGGGACTCGAGTCTTGAAGCAAGAAAATTGCTACTGAAAGAAACACGACTTATTAATCAATTAAATCATGCAAACATCGTCGAATTTAAAGAAATTTGCCTTGACCGATATGCACTTCTGATGGAATAAGTCTATTTCGATTTTAAGCCCATCGGATACGATTTAATTGTACACAACCTAATATGCAGCGGATATGCCTTTTAACGAGCCGAAAAGTATATTTTACACCATACCATATCCGCGTTTTACCCGATTGGGTAAAACGCGGATATGATGTTTAAAACATATTTTAGAGAAAAATAGGTCATCCGTCCGTCCGTCCGTCCGTCCGTCCGTCCGTATCAGCGTTTTACCCTAACCCGGACCTTATTGCATAACGATATCTCGTATTCTCGAGAGGATCTTAATAATATAAAATTAAGTAGCCCGCGTGCAGGCCCAAGTATCAGTTCCCTTGGGCCTGCACGCGGGCTATTCCTTTATAGGCGAATTTGATCGCGCGAATCACCTTTTCCTTTGACCTTTGTCGGCATCGTTTTTGCTGACGTGATAAGCGATGCCGACAAGGCAAAAAGTCGCTTTGCGCGAATAAATTCAACTATTATTAAAATGGAAACGAGTTTGATGTACTAAACAAATGTCTCAAATGTGCTAGGTGTTTCATTCGTTATAAACGAAAAATTGACACTGTTGGATCATTTTGAAGAGGTCAGGCCTGAGGTCAGGCCCGTGTCAGTCGGGGACGAAAGTCCTGTTCCTCTCCTGTTATGTCATCTTCTGTCTTGTAATCTTATCGTTATTTTTTCTTATGTAAAATTTCCTTGTATTCTTGTAAAATTCTGTAAATTGTGGCGCCAAAAAGCAACCAAACTAAACCAAACTAAGAGCATCTATAATAGTGTTGTGTTCATGTAAAACTTTTAGATGATTGTAGGTGAGTCGATATTAATTTTTAACTAGTTGGCTTACCGTCCCAGGCACTGCTTTCCACCCAATCCAGCGCGTTAAAAAATGCCTGCGTGCTACCGTAACAGGCATTGATAGTATCCACTCCTTCAATATCAGAATTCCCACTCTGTTCAAACAATTGCATCAGCACAGTTTTCACTGACTTAGATTTATCCAATATAGATTCAGTGCCCACTTCTAGTCTCCCAATCTGATTTGGATCAATTGAGTTCTTCTCCAGTAAGTTTTGTACGACGGTTAAACTGAGAGAATTCGTGTCCTCGCGATCTCCACAAAACCCCATCCCGGTCTGTCCAAGACCAATAGTGTACTTGCCTTTGCTGACACCATCATATTCTTCAAGTTTGCCTTGGTCTACATACGTCGATGGAAAATACACTTCTATCGCTAAAATACCAACATTTTCTGGCCAAGTAGAACGTTCACCATTTACGTGATTCATTGCTCAATGTTGCCAAAACAAAGACTGAGGCAATATCGAAACCAATTCTAACATAGTGCTTCTGATTTCTGACCTCACTGGACCCAGGGTGTTGTGGTGCATGGTACCAAAAGCTCTAACTAATCCAGGTCAAGGTCTCTCAGAAAGCCAATATTCAATTTAGGCTAGAAATTTCATTAGTAGAGAGTAATAATGAAATCTGTATACTTTAAATTGTGGCAGTGCAAGTGGGGCTTCGGTGACGCAAGCATCACAGCAAACGCCTTTCAGTTCTTAGGCCCCTGTTACACGACATATCAATATCGAATTAATTCGCTTGTCACGGCATCGAATTTAACAGTTCCATGCATGAAGGAGTATCTTAACACTTAAAATATCAATAATAAGACAAAATAAAACGACAACTGTTAAAGGGGAAAATTTTGTGGGCAGCAGACATTTGTGGGCAGCAGACAGACTCGTGAACGGCACATGTTCATGTCGTAACAAGTGAATCTTTGTTTCGTGTGAGATCGTGCATGGGTTCGATTCTCGTTCCGGACTCAAGACATTCATGTGACAAGAATCAGATCATAGTTAGTTTTTTTCCGAGTACACCGTTTCCCCCCACATGCTGTTAGCGTTCCCTGTCAAGATGGCGCTTCTCGCGAGCCTCAGCGAGCAATAAATTAACTTTCAAAAGGACTAGGGAGAGTTTCGAGGAGCGGGACACGCCGCAACTGGCCAGGCTCTGTCATTTTGTATTTGTGATCATGTTCATCAAATAAAAACAAGTTGTATGCCGTTCTTGTTTTTATTAAGAGTTAATAACGCTCTTTTAACCGTGTACTTGATGCAGTCGTCTGAGCAGTCGGCTTTTTAAACCTTGATCTGAGATCGTGGTTTCGATTCCTGGTACGGACTTACGTATGTGAAAAGAGTGTGTCAATGGCAACTCCATGCTGACAGTCGTGGGTTTAATTTCTCCGAGTGCTCCGGTTTTCTCCCACGGAGAAAGTTGACAGGCTGAGTTAGGATAAACAAAGTTAGGAAAGTGTCTAGGCTATGTTGATATTATAAGAAAGCGTAATACAGTAATACTTGATGTAATCGGTCACTGAAAAGCCCAGGTGGGGAGTGAGCTGTGACTGTAAGTTGAATTACCACAAAGAGTATGCATGTACGCTGGAAACAAGCTGTTGACAACTTGTAATAACCTTGTTGATATTATTAGACTTGTTGCAAGTTGTTCCCACAAGTCCGATACGGTCATGATATACTACAATATTGTTACAACCTTGTGTCGTCAACTTGTAACATTCTTGTTATATTGTGATCGTATCAGACTTCTTATAACAACCTTGTAACAAGTCTGATAATTCCATTATGCTTCTTACAAGTTGTTAACAGCTTGTTCCAAACTAGCTTGTTACTGAACAACTGGGAACAAGCAGTGCGAACATACAGGGCCGTGCAAAGCGGTGGAGCAGGAGCGGGCGGGGGGCAACTGTCCCCCTACGATTTTTAGAATGTCATTGATTAATTATTCTTTGGATATTTGGGACCTTTTCGGCATATAGGCCTAACTGGTCCCCTGGTAAAAAAATCCTGCGTACGGTCCTGCGAACATAACTTGTCGACAACTTGTGAACAGATTTGTAACAACTTATGGTAACAACTTGTTTACAGACCACTGTATCAATTTGTGCGTTTTTACGTGTGTAGGCCCTTTTTTATACGTCGAATTTCGGCCTCGTCGAATGCAATTCAAACAATTGATGATGAAGCTTAATTATTAAATGAGGTTTATCATCTCATTATCTATTGTCTTAATTGCATTCGACGCGACCAAAATTCGACGTATAAAACGGGCCTAGGTCATTGTCACCATATGCAATTGTATGGCAGCATTCGAAAATCCACCTGACAATATCACTCAGTGATCATGAATCCACATTACGTAATCATTGTTACAACATCACGGGCGGCAGCGTCCGGTTCATTTTTTGCTCATTCATCAATGACATCAATCACAGTGCAAGGAGGTGTGGAATTTGACACTGCGACCACAATATATGTCGTAAGCGATTTTTGATGGGTTTATGCAGGGGGGCTTATATACGGAGGGGGGAGGGGCTTATACATGGACGATCTTTTGTGTTAGTAATAAACAAGTCAGTCATAAACAGGAAAATAAACATGCTATATAGACAATGACAATGTTTTGAAATGTCGTTCTCTGCTATATTAAAGGACAATGTCAATGTTGAATAACTTTATAACGTAGTGGGCTACTGGGCTTACATTCGTGGGACTTATTCGGGGGGGGGGCTTATATTCGATGGAGGGCTTATATTTGGAATGAGGTGAGTGTTAGTACATGTAGTTGGCTACTTGGCTTATACATGGGGGAGGGCTTATATTCGGTAGTTTACGGTATATTTTTTGACGAATTCTCCTAGGAACTCTCCTACCGAAAGTTGGGTACGACAACATTACTGAAAAGTTAAGAAGTTTTTTTTAGCAAAAACAAGTAAAGCTAGCAATCACGCAACCTCGTACCCAGGGTCTTACCTTGGCAATCACGAAGGAAGATTCGAAGGAAGATGTTATCTTCAAAGTGGAAACACGTCTATCATTCATAAATTCTAAATTCATTCGACTTCGCCCTTTGAATTCCTTTGAATTAATTTTTTTACTCACGAGGAGTGAAACTTACATTTTACTAAAAAATATTGGAGATTAATAGAGATTTATTGTTTTTACCACCAGTTTAATATAATGTCTTATGCTGAACGTTCTACTTGGCCAGAAAATGTTGGTATTTTAGCGATAGAAGTGTATTTTCCATCGACGTACGTAGACCAAGGCAAACTTGAAGAATATGATGGTGTCAGCAAAGGCAAGTACACTATTGGTCTTGGACAGACCGGGATGGGGTTTTGTGGAGATCGCGAGGACACGAATTCTCTCAGTTTAACCGTTGTACAAAACGTACTGGAGAAGAACTCAATTGATCCAAATCAGATTGGAAGACTAGAAGTGGGCACTGAATCTATATTGGATAAATCAAAGTCAGTGAAAACTGTGCTGATGCAATTGTTTGAACAGAGTGGGAATTTTAATATTGAAGGAGTGGATACTATCAATGCATGTTTTGGAGGAACACAAGCATTATTTAATTCTGTGGCTTGGATAGAAAGCAGTGCTTGGGATGGTAAGATATACAAACTAAAGGCGCTATTTATATGATCTCGGATACTAGGGACACTCTGAGCCTTGCATTCCTTCCTGAGGATAGCAGGGTCGGGGAACGAGATTGGGGAATCAGGGAATAAAAAGTTATTCATGAAGGCTGAGACAAACTGTTAACATGGACAAATGTTGTCCCTCTTACAAGGGTAACCCTGGTTCATAAACAGGGTGTCCCTACTGCATGGGTGATCCTACCAGCTGAGACAAGTTGAAAACTTTCCATTATAAACACTTGTTTTAAATGTTATAGAATGAATATTAGAATGAATATTATTTTGCCTCTCCCAGGGTAGCTGGGGGGCTAGGGTGGCCCCCAAATGCTGGGGCGGATGAATTAGGAAGATGTTTCATTTTATCAAATTAGGGATTGTACTACACTAATTTATGTTGCCTAATAGCCTTCAGTTGTTGAGTCATTGACCACTTGACTAGTAATCACTACAGTGTCATTTTACTCAAATAGACATATATCAATATTATAAAAGTCTTACATTAAAATTCGTTTATATAAAACCTGACCTTTACTGTATATCCTACATATACTGCATTTATATCGGTTATCCTAGATATTAATAGCCTTCTGAGTTCTGGTGGTCTTTCAACCACAAAAATATGCAAATTTGTTGTGTAAATCAAAATTCATAGCTAAATCTCAATCAAGATACGTGTATTTACTATTTACATGTGCCTGGCGCACATCTTGTTCGCTTATAAATATTGTTATGCTGCCTAAAACAAAATAATATTGACATATCACATTAAATTCACCTTTATATTGCACTCTTCAGAATAAAGATTTCGGCACCAATACTTCTACTCAAAGTCAAACTGTAGCCCATGCTACTCATTATGCCTAGCAACTGCTCAACCAAACTCTCTGATATAGCGTCGATTTTCCTCTCAAGATCAGCCCAACAGTCTTGTAAGACAGCTAAATCATTCACCGCAAATGCGGATTGAACCGTTTCGTAAATGCTACAAGCCAATGAGCAGCAGACATTTCCAAATTTTCTGTACAAATTTTAAATTGAATCTTTCGACAAAGCTCCAACATGACACTTTGAATGAGCACATGCTCGGAAAGGCTTTACCACACGTCAAATATTAATGATATTCTGACTAATGGGGCGCCCCTGACTTTTGTAAATCTGTTAGAACTCCCCACAGATCAGTCAAAATCACTTGTTTCCATGGAGATAAGCATCTAGACCAATCAGAACACTGGATTTTGACTTTTTGACTGATCCAACCCCTAGATCCGGCCCTGTCAAATTCATCCGGTTGACCGGTTCCACATGTTCACACAGAACCAGGTTAATTACAAAATGAGAAATGTGCACACAGAATTGGATGAATTGCAGTCCTGGACATCCCTTGCAATTCCTCATTTTCATTATTAGTTGCATAGTAATACTGTACAGTTCTTCATGTTAGTTTAGTTAGGTATTCTTCTCAATCCCTCACCATGTAAAAATAAAAAACACTAGTTCTGCAGTTCCGGTGCCATCTACTTTAGGAGCCATTCCAGTACAAAACAAGACCTAATTTAGGTTAGCAGTGCTGGAATTTGTCCGGTTTTATGTGTCGTGTGCACTGATGGTCTTGTGTGAATGCAAGGCGAAACTGGATGAATTTCTGAGTATGGTTCTGAATTCTCCAGCCCCATGTGAACGAGGCCTAAGTAATATTCAAAATTTCCAAGGGGGTCAAAAATAGGACAATTTCCAAGGGGATTTCTTGGGACTTTGTCAACTGATATGAGCAAGGGAGTTGAGAAAAATGTGGAGTTTCTGAGGGTGTTATAGAAAGTACAAAGAATTTCTTAAGGGAGTTGGCAGAAAACCATTTCTGATGGGGTCTAAAATCACACACCTTGTCCACAAAGGGGTATAAATGTTAAATGGAATGGCTGGATGTTGGCCTTTAGAATTTGCCACAACACTCAGCAATTGGAAAAGCAAGCTCAGCAATTGCCAAAGCATATTGAGAATGTTCTTATATTACTTCCATTAGTAAAAGAATCCCCATTTTTGCCGAGGAAACAAATAAGCTAGTTACGAGGGCTGCCCTAGGTAGTCTCTAGGCTTGGGTGGTTTACCGGGGGTTTTTCGGTTTTTATTTTAAGACCTTTTTTTGGTTTCACTTTCGGAAAAAACGGAAAACCATCATTACATAATTACATATGTCATCGCCCAGTAATTTTATCAATTTGACCTTAATTTATGATAGCTGACACCCAAACCCAACCTTGTGATATTTCAATTTTATTTCAAAATCAACATCATCATCAGACTAACTGGACATTCTCGTCTTGCTTTGAGTTTCAAGATGCTAATATATGGATTGTACATTGTTTTGCACATGACAAGTTTGTGATCCAGGTGAAATGTATTTCAATTGTTGAATGCTCTCCCACCGTGGGACTTTTCCACATCAGTGTAGTCACATGCATCTCTTCATCAACAAGTGCCAATAAAAACAATGGAATGACATTGACACAATGGAAACAACCAAATAATCAAATCACTGAAAATCCAACCTTATAACCTTTATAATGATGCTATTGCCTATTTAACAATTGGACTATGTGCTCGAGATTTCTATGGGGTGGTAGTTGATGAGGGCGAAGCCCGAATATCACCTAAAATAAAATTGAGAGCGAGTAATCTAATTGTTTTAGTATATTCTATTTCTACGATACTGATACTCACAGACTTAATTACAGTAGCAAGTCAACATTCGCTAGTGAGACTGCACCATCAAATATACTTCCATTTTGGGTGTACATAAATTTATTGGAAACATCAGTAAAATGAATCAGTTGCCTGTTTTTGGAATACCAATGAAACAAACAGCTATGTCTACAATACCCCAACATCACAGACACCAAATCCTAACAAACTAGGTGAACAAGTAAGCATGTTACAGTAAAATATCCAAACAGGTAAGGAGTCGGCAACAAACCTTAACTTTTGATGACATCATCAGAACAATTCCAGAAAGACTGAAGCAGTTAACTCAACAATATTGCGAGAAGCATCAGGATTTTTAGGAATGAGCGAGCAGGAGACAAACATGGTAAAAATAAATAATACAATGTTTGCTGTGAAGTCGTTTAGCTACCACAACGAAAAAGTGTACAATGTACATCATAATGGTGAATTTATATAATTTACCATCTCAGCAGGGTAACTTTTGATTCCTAAAAAAGGTGAAATATGTCGTGGAACAGATGGCTCACACGTTCTGGATCAGTACATAACATTCAAAGAAAGAGTTTGCCAGGATAGCAAAACTAAGAAACGATTCAATCTTGATCTGTTGAAAATGAAACATGCACGTCAGATCACGTGGAATGCCAGTAATGTTTTACGTCACTTCCAAGAACCCGAGCACAGGCTACATGAAGACAGACCAGATTTGGTTGAAATTATTGAAATATGCCTTGTTATGTCAAGATCTCAGCGAACATAAAAACTTATCAAAGATGTATAAAAAACCCGGTTTGGTGGAAAAATTAATGAAACCCATTATAGTATCAAAATAAAAGCGACAGGGTAAATCAAGGAACTTCTATTTGAGAAGCGAATGCATGGGCTAAACGAGTAAACGCCAGCAGAATGCTTGGGCTAAACGATTTGCCAGCAGAATTGAGGACAAATGGCAGAAAGAGAGCTCAAAATTAAAAGCTTTCAAGTTAAAAAAATCACAAGTTACTGTAAATTCTGGTTTATAAAACAGTGATGAGTTGTGATTAACGAGAATAGTTTGTGTTTTAAACATGGAAACTAAAGGTAGCAATTGATCGAGATCTTTAAACTTTAAAGTTAGAACAGTCTTGCCAAGAACGTATAGAGAATTGCTAAACTGAAATCTTTAAGCATATGTAACTAATGCATAAATGAATATGGTGTAATGTTTGGTAAAAATACTCAATAAACTCAATAAAAACATGCTCTCTTTAACAGATGGCTTTATGTCAAACTGATAAATAACTTTATTGAAACGTTAAAATTTGAACAAGACAAAACGTTTTGATTGCGGGTAAACTTAGCGGGAGAAATGTTTTGGTAGTAACAGCTGGTTCAAGGCTCGCAAGTGGAAGTAACGGCTGATTCAGAGAAAAAAAATGCTTGTTGAATACTGTAGGTTGAGGCAGTATAAGAATTATCAATATCATCTATGCTGTACATGCCATGTAAAGTACAACACATTTACTTGTATCTCGAACTGCAAGTTGAAAATGTTTCAATGTAAAAAACTAATTAATTTAATAGTTGAAGAGTTTTGTACATGGACAATTGTCGTCTGTCGAGTGTAAATTTATGTACTATTTAAAGCACGCGTAGGAGTGTTTTATCATATTTAAAACGCGAGGCGCAGCCGAGCGTTTTAGATATGATAAAACACGACTACAAGTGCTTTAAATGGTACTTAAATTCCGACTACAAAAGAATACTAATTAAGATGAAACGTTGTATAAACATACTAATGAAGATGAGTTTTATCACATATAAAGCTACGACACGCTTATGATTTTTCTTTGTGTTTTCCTCATGAATTATTAATGAGGAGTTTAAAACATTTATTAGACCTAACCAGGAACAGCTGTGAAAAATACAATTATAGGTCCCTGGCAGGAATCGAACCTACGGCCCAGCGATTCCGGTGTAGCGCTCTAACCAACTGAGCTACAGTTGAGTCCAGTTGTCGAGCCATGTTAAGTAATGGGTAAATATCAAGATCTTATTGTCATCTCACTCGATTGAGTAATAGTTGAAGGGTTTTGTAGATGGAAAATTGTCGAGTGTAATTTTTATACATTTATTAGACTACATTTATTATACTGTTCCTGCTAGGGACTTATATATATAGTTTTCCCTGGTTAGGTCTAATAAATGTGTATAAATTTACACTCGACAATTTCCTGTCTACAAAACCATTCAACTATTACTCAATCGAGTGAGATTCCAACAAAATCGTGATATTTACTAATTAACTCACTATATATATATTGTTTAATCGTAGGTCGTCTTGCTATTGTTGTCTGTGCTGATATTGCAGTATATGGTGCAGGCAATGCTCGACCTTCAGGGGGTGCAGGAGCGGTGGCAATGCTGATTGGACCTAATGCACCTTTGGTTATGGAAAGAGGTAGCGTATATTTAATAAAAGTTGAAAACATATACTGTAGCCTTGTTTAAGGAGGTTTGCTTGGAGAAAAATGTTGAACAATGTTGTTGGTTTTTTTAAGCAAGCATAGGCATTTGTGTGAGTAGTAATTATTGATACCATTATCTCACGGTGCACTGTATTAGACTGTGAGATAATCGTATCAATTTCCTCCTGGCATTCAGTTTTTTGTCAGAGGAAAAGAAACAGTATGTCAGCTAGTCGAAATTTATCAACAAATTTTATTTGTTTGAACCAAATGATGTTCTGTATCGTGAAAGTGAGGCACTAACTTTCAATGCCGTTCACATCTTGAGATATATTGCAGGCTTTGCAGATTTCCCTACTATTATTTCTAATACCATCTGTAAAGCCTGGTTCACATTGATCGGCGATGTTCTACGATCCATTGTCTGTGAGCAACGAAGAAGAAAATGCACAAAACATTTTATGCATCAATGACCACCGACAATGGGCATCGCCGATGTTTACGATGAATGTGAACCAGGCTTTAAGTCAATCTTTACAGACTCCTCCAGGCGACGAAGATATATAAATCTGAATAGAAGTATTCGATCATTTTTACTTTCAGGTATGCGTTTTGTTCATTGTGCTCATGTGTACGACTTTTACAAACCAGACTTAAATTCAGAATATCCAGTCGTGGATGGTAAACTGTCAGTCAACTGCTATCTTGGAGCGTTGGATAAATGTTATCAGGGTTATAAAGCAAAAGTCAAGCAAAAGAGAAAGATTACTCCTAACGTGAATAATTCTGGAGGAGTATGTTTGGAACATTTCGACTACATGGTATTTCACGTGCCTTTTTCACGATTATGCCAGAAATCTTTGGCCAGGCTGATGCTAAACGACTTTCTTCAAGAAATTAAAGCAGAATGTCCTCCAATTGAGAAATACGAAGCTCTTAGCGATTTCAGGTAAGAAAGTTTGCATGCACATGCAGGTATTGTCCGTATATTGCTGCTATATCCTATTACAGCTGTGTATGTACAGTACATGATTGTATTGTAACTTTTAAAGTATTTCTGTCAAATTCTGAACCACTTTATCTCTGAAAGGGAAGACCCTCGAATGAAAAATACCTTACATAGTGTATGACCTGTAATTTCACTTACTGTATAATTATATATACTTAATTTTATTTTACTTTGTCAAACTTCAGATGATTTTATTCGCGATGGAAAAGTCTCGGACGCGAATCAGCTTATTTCAAATTACAGAAATATACTGTCAAACGTTCGCACGATTTCCAGACAGACAAAAGAAATAAACAATGAATAACTATTTGTATTTGTTCATGTTTTGCCCCTTTGTGCATACTGTGAGTTTAATATTCGGATTGTTAATTGCAGCACAACGTACGATTGTACACCATAAACGCTTGGCGTACGCCAAGTGCATATATCTAAGAAAACGAACGATAAAGTACACTTACTACAGCTTCTTTGTTTTTACCTGAAAATCCTTCTTTGATCCGGCGTTAGCTTCATCAATTTTCGTTGTCGCTATCTACATACAGGGTACAGCCCATTGGCAAAATGGAGCCAGAATCAAATTAGTTATTTACACGGTTAGTGTTTTTTGGTAAACTTTTGACTGGAATTCGCTACTTGCAATGTAAAGACTCATCTATATTCGTGCTTTGAATGGTCGGTAAACACTTGAGGCGGCACATTTTGTATTTCTTTTATACTGGAAATAAATACAACACAGAACGTGCCGGGTAAAACTAGTCTAGAGAATTGTACCTCTACAATGATGTAACGTACGCTAACTTACTTACTGTATAGAGCGTACGACCTCGTTCGGCATTTCTGATGCGTGCAATAGGCAATTCCAGCTTTTAGTTTATGCATGCAGGGGAATAGGGGATGATGGGAAGTAAGGTATCATATTGCTGATTATGCTGAAAAAAATAAAAATGGTGGCCGTGTAAACACGGAGTGATAGTTTATACTTGTAAATATTGAAATACTTCGGTTGTTTCGGCAGTTTTTTTGAAAATTTTTCAGCATAATCAGCAATATGATACCTTACTTCCCATCATCCCCTGCACGCATGAACTAAAAGCTGGAATTGCCTATTCGTGACAGTTACAGTACCTGACCACTTGCATTTGCGAAATCACAAGCGCATAGAAGATATGGATTTGACTGCTTCTATTAGCACGCAATGAAAATTTAGCATAGGAACATTACCTACAACATGCTGGTATCTTTTAATGTATATATTATACATAATTGTTGAATTTTCCTTTAGGGATATTAATTTAGAGCAGTTGGCGGATGACCCTGTATTAGCGAAAGATGTGGAAAAAGCGTCTTTAAAATGTAGTCAAGTTGCATTTGAAAAGAAAACAGAGCCATCGTTACTCGTGTCGCGAAATGTTGGCAACATGTACACACCATCACTCTATGCTGCGTTGGCCTCTGTTCTCGTCAGGTTAGTGTCATCTTTTATCTTTTGAAGATAACACAGATTTTAATGATTTGACCACGGTCGCTAGTGAAATCCCGGAGGCTAATAGTGACTGCTGTAAATGCTATGTTGATAAATTGTGTAATCAGACATTATATATATACCTCACACTAAACTTGTCTTATACGAGAACTCTGTGTTTACCACATGACCATGGTATTTTCAGCGAATACCATTCCAGAGCGAACTCGTGCCCAGAGTGTTTTCCTCGGGGTTTGGTATTCGATGTAGAGTACCACGCTTCGGCGGTACACGCCACGCTACAGCGCACGTATCCAGTTCATCGGCTGCCAACGTTGCTGAAGAAACAAGGACTAAGTGAAGATGAACACAATGTTAATGATAAAATTCGGAGATTACTGCAGTACTAGCCAACAAGGACACGGTGAACACCAAAACATAACCAAGTTTGCCCACAAAGTTTTATGTACCGTTAGCACGACGTCGCGAAATTTGAGAGAATAACTTTCAAGCATCGACAATGAATTTAATAACGAAGTCGAGATTTGGAGCATCTCGTTCGATAGAACTAACAGTTGAAGGATTATAGACAGAAATTTCGAGTCGAGGATTATATTTAACAAATATAAAACATTTTCCGTGTTGATATACAGTTATATCAACACGAGTGGAAATTGGGAAAACGAGAAATTGTGTGGAAACACGACGCCCGAAGGGCGGAGTGTTTTCACACAATTTCGAGTTTTCCCAACTTCCACGAGTGTTGATATAACTAAATATCAATACGGAAAAAATGTTTTATATTTGTTTTATAATATAGCAATGTCAAAAGCACGAAGAATAAGAACAATTTCCGTGTTACAAGCGGCGGAAAATTTCCCGTGTTGACATGGAGTTATATCAACACGGCTCTTAGCCAATCAGCGTTCAGAATTTACAAATGCTATATTATAATTCGTTATACAATATAAATGTACCGCCCGACAAAATAATTCAAGACAGTTAATTTTTTTATATTTTATGTAGAGTTTTTATTGCCATTTTAAACTTCCAATTTGAAACAAACAGAATTTTGAATGAAATTTCTTTGTATTTTAAAGAAACTCAGTCATTCTGTCATTGTTCGTGGAGATACGAACTATTGATATATAAATTATATAAATATAAAATATAAAAAATAAATCTCCCACTGTCTTCGGCATTTCAAAGTGTAGACTGTGTCTAGTGATGAGAATCAAAGAATTTATTTTATGTGTAGTAATATAAACCAAGCTCGTTTAGCTGCCTTAAAACGGTAGTTTAATAAGCTCAAAATACAAAGCATGCAAGTCTATACTGAGTCTATACTATAGATTCATCATCAGTCAACAACCAAACTGAAAGTATTGAACCTTATAGAACGATAGTTTTTATTTGTTTACAACTATACATATTCAACGGGTATATAAGAGTTTAACTGTTATTTGATAATTACTGCATCAACCGGCCCCTTGTTTATACTTTGGAGGTTCGTATATAATATCTATCAAGTATCTTTGGTTCAGAACATGATAGGCCTATTCCTATATGAAAATCCCACTGTTCGATTCAGTGAAGAAATATCTCCTAATTTCTATCGATAGTTTTAGTAAAATGTCAACATTATTGCGATTTAATTATTTTATGGCCTTTGAAAGTCAAGCGAGATAGTATATTATCAAATTAATACGTATGTAATTGTCTGAACGAAAATATAGACTAGCCCATACCTTTCGCCGATCATAACTTCGGCCCCTTCGGACGTATCTTCTTTGTTAAATATTCTTGTTCGAATCTCTATCAAAAACACTACTTAGAGTGTTATTTTTCAGCTTGTATCTTTTAATTTGCTTCTTTTATTAAGTTATTCCATTTCTGGTCTGACTTGACGTGAACTAATTCAAAACGCAGAGGTCCTTATTCTGTGGCAGAGTTTCAAAACGTCAAAACATTTGGTTAATGATTAACATTTAAGCGAATTTAGCCGCTGATTGACAACTACATAAAAATACTAACCAATCCGTTTTTCCCGTTCACCAGCGGACGGGTAATTCAAAAACCCCTAGTTTTGCGGCAGACGGTATTTCCTTTGCTTCCCTAATTTTCGCTGCCCGTAGAAATACCGCCTGCCATGCAGGCTAGGGATAAATAAATTCTAAAAGCTTCAAATCTCCCACCCTCTTGGGAGTGTTTCCAGATCTAAACCCCTACCAATCCCCTATTAACCCCCACCTTGTCCCGGGGTGGGGGTCGGGGTTTACATTGACTCATGCATTAGTTTTTGTATACAGTTATAGATCAGTATTTTTTTTGCCAACCTTGGGGAAATAATATACATAATGATGCAACGCTACCTTTTCGGGAGACGTACTTTGATATTTATTCATCATATTATGATATATTAAAATTACTAAATATCTACAAGGATAAAACTGAAATAACACAGTGTGTGACTAGCCGTACTAACTTCCCAACGAAGGGATTCGCTCGAATCGTCGAAGTGATTCGCGTAGTTTTCTTCTTAACCGCAGCTATCCGTTGTTATCGTCGCTACCTGCCGTTCGAATTTTGATCGATATTGTATTTCATGCATGCCGAATTAATCGTCATTGTACCGGACGCGAAACCGACTACAGATAAAGTACCAGCCATGATAGTTATGATACCATTAAAATTTGGTTAGAACTTAGAACCAGGGTCAGTCAATTTATGCTCTAGAAACGCCAGACAAAGCAACCCAACATGATCCGGTCTGTTGAACAACACAACACTATAATTACACTACCACATACCGTTCCATACAAAATATAAACGTTTACTAAGTTTTATTTAACATATTTAAGAACAGAATACCAACATACCCGTTGCCGGAATAGCAAACAATTCTTGGTCTTGTCAACCAAAGTGTATAATAAGGCTGACCAACTTAGCAGCGTCGCCTACAAATGCCTGTACTATAAAGCAAATCAATTGTGTATTTAACTTCCTTCTTCCTGTTCGTTAGATGCACGTACGGGAAATTCCCAGAAGATAAAAATAGGTTTTATAAACTATGACATAATAATTGGTAAATCGTCGCATTGTCCAACCTATATGAACGAGCTTTGTGATTGGCTAATCATGAGAATGGGAGGGAGTGGAGGTGGGAGGGGAGGTGGGGGAGCTGGGAGGGGTGGGGGGGTATCGGGGGAGGTGTGGGAGGGAGGAGGTGGGAGGGAGGGGTGGTGGAAAGCGAGGGGAGGGCCAAAAATAAAGAAAATGGAATGGAAAGTGGATAAATATATATGTAGCTGGAGACAGGAAGGAAGGAATGAAATAACAGTGACATAATATAACTGAAATGAAGGAATGGAAGAAAGGAAAGCCTTTATATCTTAATCTAAATGGACCCAACCTCGATCCCTTGTCCTCACACTTCGTCTCATATGAACGCAGTGTAACTTTTCATATTATTTTCATACCAAGGTGAGATCTCGCCTGTAAACTTGTCGAAATCTTTTCTCGCTAACCGGGTAACGTTTCCCCATATGAACAGGCCCTAAGGGTCTCCACAGACTAGGGTGATTTGTTGTCGATGACAATTAGTTATCGACAACTTTTATTTGTCGACCATTTATTAATTGTGCGAGAAAAACGCCTTTGTCGACAATAAGTTTCAGAATACGTCATTTGGATTGGCTTACACTTTGCGTGTTGGCGTGAGAAATGTTAAATGCGTGTGTCTCACGCAGAATGCGTGTCTCACGCAGAATGCGTGAGAGTGATGAGATACGATTGCAACATGACCATTATGTCATTCCATGTACATAGGGAAATCCCTGTGGGAAACAAAACAAGGAACTTAAGTGACAATTTGTTGCTACGTCTGGCGGTTTAAATATACAGTATAGATGGTATGGTTGACACTGATGTTGGTGGTTGACATTGCCAAGCTAATGAACCTTCTTTCAACTTGATAAGACCAAGCATCTATTGCTTGTTAGTTGTGGGTATGTTTTATTTTCTTGTATTACTATATGGTAAATCTGTCATGTTTTTGTACGGTAATTTAATAGCATTATGTTGTAGGCCGGAAGATGTTATAGTAGCTAACTAATCTAGCCCTGAATTTCAACATATTAATTTAATTAAAAAGAAGTTAAAGTTATAACTACAGTGGAAAAGTTATGAAAAAGCTTTCGTTGGTAGGAATGCAACTACCCGAAAAGTGTAAGGAGAATTTCGACGTTTCGAGCGAAGGCCCTTCGTCTGGAGTTACTAGTTATATCAGGTAGTTGCATCCCTACCAACGAAAGCTTGTTCATATTATTGGCACAATATACCTACACTGGCACAGACAGTGAAAAAGTTAGCCAATCAGAATCTCATATTTTAGAGTCGCGGATTGCGAGAGATCCCTCAACTACCTGAAAAATTTAAGCAGAACTAACT